AATATAATTAGGATCTGTACATGGAAATGCAATTACAATCTTTCTGTGAGGCAACTAAATCAATTTCACCAATACTCATGTCACGTGATTTTTAAAAAATATTTTTGTGACATTGGGTGAGTAGATTTGTTCCTTTATAATTGTAGAACACTTTTTCTTTAAAGCAATTATTTTCTGTATGAAATCAAACTTATGCATACTAGAGAGAAAATCTTTACATTGTGAAATTAAATATATGGGCTTTATGATCTTTGCTTTCCCTTTTTAATAGATCACCTATCACTGCCAGCCAAGCAGGCTTTGGTAGTTTAGCTTACCTTAACAAGAAAAAAAATGGATTCTATTTTTCATCCAAATTAACAATTGTTTCTTTTAAATGTGGGTCATCAGACAGAATACATTAGATGCATTTCATGCTGATTACTATTTTTGCACTTATGATGCATAAAGTTTTACTCAGTATCGAGAAATGAAAGCCCTCCTACACAATGCATCCTAACTTCATACTGTGTTCTTTCCATTCGGTCAAATAAGCAACTTCTTGCCTGAGCCTCAACAAAATTTTACACATGCATTGGAACTACATTGTTGGCACAAAAACAGACTGTTACTTCAAGACCACAAAGAAGTGGGAGCCCAAAGAATTCCTCTCTGCAATTCAATAAACAGGAGGAAAGATGTACTGTTTGCTGGCTCAAAATAGACACTAATTTTACATCTGTCTCTGAGGTACAGCAAAAAGCCAACTAAAGAGCAATAATAAATATCCAAAACCAGCATTAGTATCCAAAAACTCTAACTGCAATCTTCAGAGGAATTAATTACAACTCTGTGTAACAGTTGCATTGGCAAAATGTTCCCATAATGATAGACAGGTATTGTACTTTATTACAGAGACATTTGCCATGTAATGCTATGTTTACATGATCAGTAATGGATAAGATCAAACTGTGCATAAGAAGAATGTCTGAATTATTGGCATTGTGTGCCATTTTGTGTCGAATCATTCTAAAGTTTCATTTTCTGCAAAAGTCTAGATGTAATGTGGATTTACCGAAAAGTACAAAGCTGATACTTAAAGTTGCTTCACAACAACTGGTCATAGTAAGACATATATGGATATGAATTTCTAAAAATCTGTATGTGAAAGGCTGAAAAGCATAGTTTTCACTTTATAAGACTGGATTAGAGTAAACCTTCTCTTTTCCTCCTGAAAATAATTTAGATTTTTAATAGCGTAAACATATGGATTAATTTTACCACCAGATTTAAGCAAACAAGCAGTTCCTTTTACTGTCTGTAGAAATAACTTATTTTCTTATTTTTTATATTTTTTGTAAACAATGCAATAACAGCAGCTAAATGTGACATTTGCTTCTGCCCATAATGATACCTACTGAAAAATGCACTATTAAAAAATGGTCCATGATAACATTTAAATGTTGATAATAATTAGTCTGACATTTGAAGTACAGTAGTTGTAGTGTTGTCTTGAAAATGCTCTGTTCAATATTACCTAACTCCTGTTCGTACTTATGTGCTTTCTGTGCATTATTCTGTCAGCTAGTGAACAATAAGACATCAGTTCCTGATATATTAATATGTAAAAACTATGCTTAAGGGCCATATGCTGCCTCCAATCCACGATGTAACTCATATTGATTTCAAGTATTGTTAAGGTTGTGACATAACCAGTAAAATAAGGGACCTGAAAAGTAAAGGATCAATTTTATAACTAATTTGCAAGGAATTCGTGGGAACAATTTGCAAGGAATTTGTGGGAACAATTTAGAGTGAAAGGTAGATGTGACAATTTGCTCTTTGTTCTGCGAGCTGGGAACTCTTGGGTTCTAATGCCTGTTCTGACACAGGCTTCCTGATTAGCCTTAGGCAAGTCATTTAGGTCAACATTTTCAAAAATGTCCATTGATTTTGGGTACCCACATTTTTAGGTCGCCAACTTGAGAATCTGGGTAACCCTTGAGAATCTGGGTAACTCTGGAGAATCTGGGTAGCCCAGTTTGGACCCCAATCTCCGTGCCTCAGTTTCTTTCTCTGTGAAATGAGGAACATAACTATTCCTCAGTGGTGCTGTGAGCATTAGTTAAGGTTTGTAAAGTATTTTGAAAATAAAAACATGCATATAAGAACAAAAACATGCTGAGAATTATTGAGAACCAGTTGTGGTACACTTGGCTACAAGCGTTGAGATACAAAGTTTTTGGACCTAGACAAAGGTCCATAATTCTCTCCATGGACACCCTCAGGTTAGAAGGCATGAACAAAGGCACATGTTAACTTTGTGCAAGAGGTTGTGGGACAAGAATGGAATGTGGGAAGAAAACCACTAGATCTATTGCTATTGGTCATTAACCCAGTAAAGCAGTGGTGAGAAGGGCAGAGAAGACCTAAAGAGGCAGAAAATATTGCCGCCTCATGGTTGCAAGTACAGAGTATCTCTGAAGCCTCCCCAAGGCTGGGAGCATCAGAGAATTCTTTC